GGAGTAACATGGTTTCCTTCCACTTGTAATCTTTTAAAGGTGCAGATCAGGCCCAGACTGGCCATCGGGAGCACCGGGCGAATTCCCGGTGGACTGGCGGCTGATTTGGCCCGCTGCCCTGTTTTAGTTTTTTAGTTATTATTATTATTCATATTTTATATTTTTGCCTTCTCAATGTACCAGAGTGATAATTTCCGATTTTGTCATACGATAATAAATCGATAATACATCATAAATCGGTCAGTCTTGCCTGGCAGCGCTGCGCTATACGAATCGGCTCACGTCTGTTCTGCGCTTCAAACGATGGTTTCGAACAGAGTCGATGCGCGGGACTCGATGAAGGAGAGGAAGCGGCCAGAAGAAGCTGCGAAATGTAGCAAAAATGCCTGTTCAGGGTTTCAGGTGCAGGCCAGTTTCATCTGTAAACATGCTAAAGAGTTTTGTCTTTATTAACCTAGTTGAGTATTAAACTGCTAGTAGCCTATCTGTTAGGCTATCAGGGGCACTCTATTTATAAAATAATTCAGAATACTGTTCTAAAGGACATCATTATCTATTGGAAAGTTACATAAATACATTTAGCAGTCAGATATTCTCATGGATTTATTGTATAGGAAGGGAGGGAGCTTGAGCAGACAGCAACACAAAAATATCACAGCCTAATAATGCAATAGTGTGTTCAGTATTAGGATTTTTCAAAAAAGATATTGTACTGATTTTGACTTTTAGGCACTTTAGAAAATTGTTTTGATATATATGTATGAAATATAGGTTTGTTAGTGGTTTCAGAATTTGTAGTGGGTCAATAGGCTATATACAGAAAAAAGAGGGCAAAATGGTACCTTTTGGGGTACAACAGCTTGTCACTGGAGCAGTACCCTTAAAAAGGACGTATTTTGCCGTTTACCCCTAATAGGTAAATATTAGTACCTTATGTGTACGAATTACTATAAGGTACTAATATGTACCTATTAGGGGTAAAAAAAAAAAAAGGTACACAGATGTTCTTTTAACGGGTACTGCTCCAGTGACAAGCTGTTGTACCCCAAAAGGTACCATTTTGGTCTCTTTTTTTTTCTGTGTGGCCTGGATGAGTGTGAGATTTCCTGGCCTGAAATTGCATCCCAGTCCGGCCCTGGTGCAGATCTATGGACACTATGGGTGAACTTATATAGTTGGGAATAAAATCTTATAAAGAGGACTACTGCAGCTCAATACAACATTATATAGAAAGGTCAAGGTCAGGTGCACTTATAACAGTCAGATCAAAACTTTTTTTGACACATCTGACACATTTTTCTGACGCACTAAAGATTTCATAAAATGCAGTAGTGTTAAAAAAGTGTTTTTAATTGTATTGAATGTGCACTTGCAGTGTACTTCAAACCTTAAAAGTATATATAAAAACTGTAGGCCTACTTGCAGACAAAATAATACTAATGAAATAAATGGCCAGTAAAGTGTACTTTAAAAAGTGCATACTTCTCTTACTGTTTCTTAACACATTTAAGTACACTTTTAAAAAGTGCAGGTTGTAATAGTGTCACATTAAAGGTTTTACTTCAGAATACATTTTAAATCACTATGTTTTAATAATCTATTGTGGTGCTTTAAAGAAGTACACTTCGTTTGATGTGTTGCCCAACATACTAAAGCACACGTACTGTACTTGACATTTCAATAACCAGTTCATTCCAAAATTCTTTCATCCTTCACTCCCTCCCATGTCATTCCAAACCCATAATATGTCTTTCTTTTTGCAAGAACACAAATGAAGATATTTTGGAAAATGTTTCAAATGTTTATATCCATACATTTTGGGTGAACTATCTCTTTAAAACTTTAAAGTTTGGCTATAATTTTCCATATCCTCTGTCTCACCTTATTCTTTTTGTTTGTATTCCATAAAGCCATCAGTTCATCAGCTTCTCTCCTGTCTCCTTCCTGGAGGCCCTTACATTTTCCCTTCGCTCCTGACTCCAGAGGAAGTGGTTTCTGTGCAGAAAGCGTGTTGAACATTGTGTCATGTACATGGGAAGCTGTAACCAAAGAAGTGCACATTAAAAGTTCCACTAGAGTTACACTTTCTGTGTAGACAGATCTGGTGGACAGTCAAGCCAGAATTGGGGGTCTGCCTCGAATCTCACCGTAAGTATGTGAGTGTGTGCTCTGGCTCAAGCAAAGCATATAATACTGCCCCCTAGTGTTAACATTCTGTTCCCTGTTGCACATGAATGCACAAACATTAACACCCAAAGAAAAGCTTTGAAGTAACATAACTGCACTCATCACTGTCTAATATAAAACTACAAACATCAGACATAATCACCATAACTGAGCTTTAAGACCTGTTTTAGCCAAGTTAGGAGTCTTAAGACTACCTTAAGGAATAGTTCACCCAAAAAATAACATTCTGTCATCATTTTATTCTTCTGTTGAACACAAAAGGAGATATTTTGAAAAATGTTTGTTTTGGTTACTAATGACTTACATTGTATGGAGAACATAATATATATATATATATATATATATATATATATATTACGGGTAAACTATCTCTTTAAGTTATTTTAAGACAGGTTATGACAAAATAATAACCTATTTTTATATTTATCTATAAAAAGCTTTAGCATTAGCTATGACAAACTATCTATGAACTATTTTGGGAATTCTTATTCAAAAGCCATTATTTTTGTAATTGGTGACACTAGTGCAAAGAGATCGATAATGTCTGGAAAAAGCTGCCCATTAGCATTTCCGTTCATCTAAACTGTAGTTGCTTGGCAGGAACAAACATTACCAGGAAGTACAAAGAAATGGCACTGGTAGAACATCTACTATAATATAATAAAAATGTTGCTTGTATACAAACGTACACAAAAATGTGTTCATAATTTTTGGGTGTGTCAGATTGTTTTTAAAAGAAATTAATAAAATTGATCAAATTAAATGTATCAAATTAAATTGATCAAATAGTGACAGTAAAGGCTTTTATGTTGCTACAAAAAAAATCAATGCTGTTCTTTTGAACCTTCTATGTATCAAACAATCCTAAAAAAAAAAAAAATCAGTAGCAATGTTTTCAGCAGTGATAATGATAAGAAATGTTACTTGAGCACCAAATCAACATATTAGAATGATTTCTGAAGGATCATGTCACACTGAAGACAATAATAATAGTTCACAATATTGTTTTTTTACTGATTTGTCCTCAAATAAATTTAGCCTTGGTAAGCATAAGAGACTTCTTTCAAAAACATGAAAATATATTACCAACCCCAGACTTTTAAAATATATTACCCACCCCAGACACACAACTCATTTTGAATGGTTGTCAATAGTGGACAATAATATACATTTTTTCCCCATTGAAAATGGTGTAGTTATGCTTTCTACCAAGAGGGGCTAACTGCTAAAAAAAAAAAAAAAAAAAGTATGGCGCACACGTCCTGAAAAGTGACGCTGATGTAACTTCAAGTGTTTGTTTTTCTACAACGTTTGGTTTTAGTAGGTTATTCAATGCTATAAAAATGGGGTGTGGCGTCATGATTGTGTGCTTGCAATTGGGTCTGCGGGAGTTTGGGTGGAACCTTGACACCATGGTTCCAGCTCATGATCACTACTGCGCCAACTCAGGCTCCAAATGTCATCAGCAGAATATGACAGCAGCCATTTCTGGGACATTTTGGTTTAATTTACAGTGAAAGGAAGTGGAGATGTGCATTACAATTATGCTGTCATTTATTGTCATTCTGTTACAAAGTTAACCTATATGTATGGCTTTCAACCATACAACACAAGATGTTAGCCAGTATGACAGCCTCAGTCACCATTCGTTTTCATTGCATCTTTTTTTTTCCATTGAGAATCTTGTTTTGTGTTTCACAGAACAAAGTAAGTCATACATGTATGGGACCACATGACTATGAATAAATAAAGACACCATTTCTGGGTAAACCATGCCTTTTTGGGGGCAGTCTGGGCCTAATGGTTAGAGAGTGGGACATGAAACCCAAAGGTTGCGGGTTTGAGTCTCAGTACCAGCAGGGATTGTAGGTGGGGGAGAGTGAATGAACAACACTCTCTTCCACCTTCAATAACCAAGATTGAGGTGAGACCCTTGAGCACGGGTCTCACTGAACCCCCAACTGCTCCCCGGGTGCCGCAGCAAATATGGCTGCCCACTGCTCTGGGTGTGTGTTCACTACTCACTGCTGTGTGTATGCACTTGGATGGGTTAAATGCAGAGCTCAAATTCCGAGTATTTGACACCATACTTGGCTACACGTCTATTTAAATGTGTTGTTCAATAAATGTAATTAGTGATGTAATATTGGCCCACAAGAGGGCAGCAGAACATAAACAAAGCTACAGCTCATTCTATGTCACGTTTTCTCATTTATGAAGCTCTTGCAACAATTACAGCCTCTTGATATGTTTGTTTTTCTGGTTTTACACTTCTGGCTTTACACTTCTTACTTTAAGTAACAAGAATATTAAGTAAGAGTATAATAAACTTGTTAAAGTATATCATTTTAAATAAGCAATTATATGTTTTGCTTTAATACACCCCCAAAAAACATGTTAACCATCGTTTCCACCAAAATACTTGTTATTGTGTAATTCATAATCTCATATTATTTAATATTGGGTCTTCTTCAACTGCTTTTTAAGCTTTCAAAGTCTTTCTGTCATTTTGTTTGCTTTCTGAATTTTGATTAAAGCAGCCAAGTTACCACAGTATGATTATAGTACTAGATACAGCAAGGAGAGAGAACATGAGTTTTAATATACGTTGTTTGCAGCGATCTAAAGAGAGAGAACATGACATGGTAAACAGAGTGATGCTGTTGTGGACATCAATAATCTTCATTAGCACATACAGTAATCAGATTGACAGCATGGAAGGAGAAAGAAAGAGGGGTGGGGGTGGAGAGAGCAAGGAGTAATAGTACTAACTGAGCTGGCTTCACTGCAGTATCCTGGCTACAGGACCATGCGGCACTGATAGGCTTGGATACTTAGCGAGAGACAGCGACCAAACCCTCCCTCCCCCTCTCTCTCTCTTCTCCTTTTTCACAGTCTCTCGTGTCTCACTCTGCTGTCGTAGAGACTGCAGGCTGCACACACTCAGTGAGTCCTTCTCTCTCTGTCCTGTTGTCTCACTCAGCGTTTCAGGCACAGAAACGGACTCTTCTGCACTGTTCTCTGCATGACTGTCACAAAGGTAAGCGTGTGCTGGAGCGTGTGAGGCTGGGAGGGGCTGCTGGGTTTGGGCTTCACTGCAGTGGGATGTTCTGCTGAATCTGTGACTGTAGTGTACCGCAGTGCCGGACAGGTGGAGTGTGTTTGTTAATGCAGGTGAATCTTATGCCTGCTGGATTTGCTGTGTGGTACAAACTTCTATGTGCGTTATTCCAGCTGGCTCCCTGTGAGTGTTTAATATGTGAGTGTCTGTCCCGCAGTAGGGCAGTGGGTCTTGGCTGGGTGAGGCATGTTTATGTGTGTGGTGTGGTGTGTGTGTGTGTGGGTGGCTTTAGCAGACTGATTACCATGTGGAGCTCTTAATCCAGTGCTGTCCTGCATAAAGCCTGAGCTGTGCTTTTTTTTTTCCGAGGAGAGATGAGACATCACATACTACAGTATGCTGACAATGACAGCAAAAAGAGGAAAGGAACAAGATGAGAAGGGGCAGGTCAAGGGATATAGGGAGAATTCAGGTCAACTGGGACACTTTTTGACATTGAGATTATGACGATGGTCAAAAAGTAGCACAATTTAGCTGAATTCATTTTATAAGTATGAATGTTGATCAGGCTAATTATGTCTATATTGTGCTTGTTTGTATGTTTATAAAAGTGTCTGTTTAAGTTTGATTTATGTCATTGGACTCCCATAGGTGTCATGAGCTGCTGGCTAATTTAACTTAATTCATAAAAGTTGGACAAAATAACTATAACATTATTTTAAATGCAGTACTCAATCAAACAGATTTGTAAAGTCTGTAAAGCTAAAAACATACCTGGTCTAAGCCTGATATTGTAAAGATGAACACAAAGAGACACTGTTTATAAGTCACATATGTGTGTGTGTGTGTGTGTGTTTATGCATTATATATATCTGTTTTGTATGTAAAATCTATAAAATCTATAATATGAAATAATATAAGACTCACAACTCAACAGGACAAGTGATTTTGAAAATGGATAAATATTATATTATATATTATATTATTATTTAGAGTTGCAGTTTCTTCATTTATGTGATGCATATCTCATTTAAATCTAAGTCAATGCCAGTGTTCATGCAGTGATATGTGTTGCAGTTATTCCTGGCAGAATTACCGGCTTGACGCAGGTGCTGACTGTGTAAGAACTGATGTGAGTGTGTGTTTTGCTCTGATGGAGAAGGTTGAGATGTTGAGTGGGGGTTCGAGTGATGGGTACTGTCCAGAGCTAAATGACCTTGGAGTGTTTGTGTATGTGTGCTGACTGAGCAGAACAGCACTCTGTGTCAGACAGTGAGAGACAGAGAGCGATTCCACTCAAGAGTGTGTCTGCATATGTGAGAGTGAGTGCACATATAGACTAGTGTTTAACCACACAGCTGTGTGGCAGGATATCCTCACAGACTCTTGGGACTCTGGCTGTTCACTTTTACTTTCGATTTCTCAGTGTAAAGGGAGCACATCTTACGAGATCAGATATTTGTCAATGAGCTCAGGATCTTTTGAGCAGCAAATCCTCCAGCATGATCTGGTCAGCCAATTCTCCTCTCATCAGTCAAATCTGACTCCTGCCCGCAGCTCGTGTTAGATGCAGGGTTGTCAAGTCCGCATCTTTTTCCATGGAATTGGGCCACTTTTAAACTGTTGCCATGGCTTGATTTTCTCCCGTAGGTTAAAGGTTTGAAATGTTGCTTAAAGGGGTCCTATTATGCTTTTTCACTTTACAACTTTAGTTAGTCTGTAATGTTGCTGTTTGAGCATAAAAAAGATTCGAGCCCTTCATGCCAGACTGAGAGAGGTGTTGTAATAATGTAAAATATGTGAAAAATAATGTGTTTTTCGAACAACCTAGTATGAGAGCCTGTTCTAGTACACCCCCAAAACAAAATCAAGACTTTGTAAAAGAGCATAATAGGACACCTTTAAATTACATTTCACTTAAATGCTTATATTGAAACATTTTGTATTCTGCCTATGATAAAACTGTGCTAGATGTTAAGTTTTGTGAAGGATGGCCACTGGTAGGAAGCTTTTTAGCTGCTTTTGATAATTATGCATAACAGTTACTGTAAAATATGTATTTTACGTATGGAAATGACATATTTTGAGTTTTGATATTTCGGATATGGTCATTGTGCTACTTTGGGCACTACTTTAACCAACAACCAATCCAATTTAAAAACAAAAGCTAAATGCTGATGCTAAATGTCAGTACCATCTATGTTTGTATTGAATGTGCTTACTGCGCAGTTACCGCTGTTAATTGCAGATGGTTACATTTATTGTTTTCAATAGGCAAAAGCCAGTATGGCCTTGTTTATGTATACTTTCATTCTTTCTTGTTTGTTGCTTAAAGGAAAAAATCGGAAATCGGTATTGGAATTGGCTTTCTTGTAAAAAATCGGTATCGGAATCGGCCATGAACAATCATGATCGGTGCATCACTATATGTTGGTAACTCACACATATGTACAGTACAGATAAAAAATAGTGAATTATTGTTGAGTATTTAATCAAATTAAAGAACTTCACAATGCTGATGCTAATTGCATGGGTTATATTTTATTTTTTCACACTTTAAATAAAAAAATGGAAATAATATGTTTAAAAATACATAATTACAAAAACTATGTCAAACAAAAGTGACAGAAAAGTTCATCGCTATAAATTCATAGAAAAAAGTCCATGTATTAAACAGTGTTTGTCAGTAATTAAATAACTTTATGAACAATGTTATAATTATTTCATATAACCTAATTGAGTATCATATCATCAGAACTTCATTGTTTTATTTATTTATCTTTGATTTTACAAAAAAAAATATGAATGACTCATTCTACACTACATAGATTTTTGTCCAATCAAATGCTCTCTAGAAAAAAAAGGCTCTTCCTCCAATATTATCTTCAGCAACTAGCAAGTAACAAACCATGGTTCATGGCTGTGACATAACTAAAGCTAAGTGAAATTAAATGAAATTAAATAAAGTAAAAGAAAAGAAAATAAATAAATAAAAGGAACAAGCCCTTTAATGTCCTGCCCAAGCTTCAGTCTCAATATTAATCATAGTTCCCCTACAGGATATTTCAGCAAAGCTTTAATACAATCCTGCAAATCACAACAAAACTGTTTGGTTTCTGTAGGTTTGTTTTAATGCATGCACTTATAAATTCATGAAATAATATTTTCTAATTGCTAAAATTCCACTATAGAATATTTTATAGGCAAGGGATAATCAATGGCTAGCCGTGCATTAAAGGATTTTAATGCATGACGTGGAGGCAAAGAACCACCCGACGCGAAGCGGAGGTGCATTAAAATCTTTTAATGCATGGCTAGCCATTGATTATCCCGCTTATTCCATGGTCATTTGCCAAGTTATAGACAAGTTAAAATTTGTATTGCTCTTTGTAGCAAAATATTTGACCAATGGGTAAAAATGACAGTTATTTTCGACAGTTACGGCTCATTAGCGCTAGCATTCTGGCAGCTTCAAATCAGACACAGAGATGAAATAGTGCGGTAACACCACATTTATTTGAATGAATAATAGCATGTATTTCAATTAATTATCGATCGAGAGAGAGAGAGAGAGAGAGAGAGAGAGATGACAGTAGTGTGTAGCTGCGTCTGCGCGTCTCTCTCTACAAACAATTACTTCAAAAACAGCGATTTTACCACCTCGTTGCTGGGGAATATAATTTAGTAATCTAGTATCTATCTTTTATTTTAGTAATAAAAATCACGGGGAAGCGTTGACAACAAGTTTATGTGTGTGTGCAGCACAATCTGCGATCTCCGACCTCTCTCTCTCTCTCTCTCTCCGTGTGTGTGTTTGCGAGCGAGTGATGCGTGTTGGTTAGTGCGCATCAATTAAAGCAGCGCATTAATATAGAATGGTGATTAAACTGACTTGGAAATACCTGCGCAGTAAACGGTTTTACTGCATACCTGCCAGCCAATCAGAATGCAGTATTCAGACAGACCATGGAATAAAAGAGAAATAACCAATGGAGGCAAGCCTGGGTTGTCTTGCGGAATTAGGCTACTTCTAAACTATTGCCGCTAATTGATTTAAAAAAAAAAAAAGATTTGAATATTGCATAAATTGTATTTCACTGAAATGCTTGTATATCTTACCCATTTTATATTCTACCAATGATAAAACTGTTCTAGATTATGAGTTTTGTGAGGGAGGGGCACTGGAAAGGAGACCTTGAGCACCTTAATGAAAAGGAGTATGACACATAAAAGTGACTGTCAAATAAGTAAAATATTTACTTTAGGTACAGGAGTGCATATTTAGAGTTTTGATATTTGGGATTGTCACGCTACGCTGTTCAGGAAGAACACGGGAGGCACGAAGGAATGTTTATCAGTCTTTAATCAAGGAAACACTGGGAATCATCACAACAGGCGCTTGAGTCACACACGTAGTACACAAGTAGAACCGACAAATACAAACTGAACAGACTGGGGCTTATAAGGACTGGATAACGAGGGACAGACAGGTGCGGGAAATCAATTAATAATCAAACTAAACAAGGACAGGAACAAGACCAAATAAGGCAAAACAGGAACTGAAACACATGACAAAACAGGTCCAATCCTGACAGGGATAGAGTCATTAGTCTAGTTTTAAACTATTTTTGATGGGCCATTGGGCTAGTAATGTTTAGCAAACCTGGCAACCTTGAGTACAAACTTGATTTGGATGCTGGTTTTTGTTTTATCCTCAGAAGGAATCTTATAATCTGGACTGAATTTGCAGGCTATTATGCCCTATGCAAGCAGTGTGAACACATGCTGAGAAGAGTCACATTTGATCCAAGTCCTAACAGCTAGCTTAGCAACTCAAACCTCCCGCTGGCCAATGTGCTTATACAGAAAACATCCAATAATGAACAAAAACTAAAAGGTCTGGCATTTTTATTCAACTTTTTTTTTATGAAGCCTGAGAAAGTGCAAGACAATGTATTCATTGATGGAGATATAAGAAC